CTAACTCATTTCAGTTTATGCAGATTAAATATCTACCCATTGATAGAAGTGGAGGCTGAGCTGGGGAGGAGGCAAAGCAACTGTGGGGCAGAAAGAAACAGCCAGGCCACAGATGGTGACTCTTCTTCCTGCCCCAAGACATCAATCCCCATTGCTGAGTCATTCAGATGCACATTTGTTAGGAAGTCTGAAACAGCTGTGACATTCACCCCAAAGGAACAGATCAGTTTAAATGTCTCTGGCTACAGGTAGATTCTCGTGCCGTTTTCTGCCAGGCCGCACAGAAGCTGACATCTCTCACACTGTCATCTTCCACCCCTCACATCCCAGCAACTCAAATCCCATTTCCTGGCTCTACAAGGACCAGCATCCATATCAATAGAGCTAAGAAAACAAGGAAGATTCTGAAATGGAATTCCATCACTTGGAACTGCTAAGGCCCCTTATGGGCACAATTGGCTTTGCCTTGTCTGCTGCATGGTGGTCTCCCACACAGGCAAACATTACAGGTGATCGCACCTCCTTGTGAGGGCAACACTCGCAGCTCTAATATGGGTGTTATAAAGCACTTTAGGCCGCAGTGACTTGAGACTAAGGTGTATTTTGCTTCCCACATGAACCTGCCTGGGCATTATGGTCTTCTCGTTCACTACTAGGCAAGAATTCAAAGCATTACTATTAATATATAAAGCCCTTAATGGCTTGGGACCAGTTTGCTTCAAAGATCACATACAGTGGTGCCTCGCAAGACGAAATTAATTCGTTCCGCAAGTCTCTTCGTCTTGCGAGTTTTTCGTCTTGCGATGCACGGTTTCCCATAGGAATGCATTGAAAATCAATTAATGCGTTCCTATGGAAACCGCCTTCAGACCAGGTCCGGGGACAGTCTGTCCCCCGACCTCTTCTGAAGGCTGGGGGGGGGGAAACAAGGGCTTTTCTTCCCACCCCCAGCATTTTAAAAAAACCCGGGACAGCGGAGGACTTCTCCGCTGTCCGGGGCGATTTAAAAGCCCCTGGGAAGGCAGGCAGGGGGGACAAAGACTTTTGCCCCCTGCCAGCCTTCAGAAGAGGTCCAGGACCTCTTCTGAAGGCGGGCGGGGGGTGAAAGTCTTTGCTCCCCCCCCCCCGCCTGCCTTCAAAAGCGGTCCGGGACAGCGGAGAAACACGCTGCCTTTCTCCGCTCTCCCGGGAAGGCAGGCAGGGGGGAACAAAGACTTTTGCCCCCCGCCGGCCTTCAGAAGGTGTTCCCGCCCCGCCGCCAGGCTTCGGAGGAGGTCCGAGGACAGTGGGGAAGACGCGCTGTGCTTCCCCGCTGTCCCGGAGATTTCCCTATGGGCTTTCGTCTTGCGAAGCAAGCCCATAGGGAAATTCGTTTTGCGAAGCGCCTCCAAAACGGAAAACCCTTTCGTCTAGTGGGTTTTCCATCTTGCGAGGCGTTCGTCTTGCGGGGCACCACTGTAGGTGCCAATCACTTCAATCTGCAGAACTTGTATTTCTACACATGCCATGCAACTTTGAGTCTGCATTTGTAAGGAATCATTCCTTTAGTGTAGCGGCATGTGTACTTTGGAATTTCCTGCCTATTGGTACCAGGCAGACACCATCACTGCATTCTTGTATATACTTGCTAAAAACTTTTCTGTTTCAATAGGCCTGGGAAGACACCTGATTTGGTGTCTCAGGCATTCAAAACAACCAGACAAGCAGGATATAAATTCTTTTAACAGGCACACATTTCTTTTGTTCTACTTCTGTCCCTCTAGTCACAAAGCTTTTGTAGGTTTTGGGAGAAAACACAAAAACCTGCCAAATGTGTTTACCACAGACCAAAGTGGGATGAATGGAAGCAACAGCAATGCCTCTGTAGAAAAACAAAAAAAAAGCACAAACAGTTTTTGGTCTTCTCAGTGGTATTCCTGAATTCAACCCAAAATTGGCTGCTTTAACTTTTCCCACAATGTCTCTGTCTGCATAGCTTTTTCTGACTAATAAATATGCCAGAAAAAGAATCTGGGTATTCTGGCAGCAGAACCTGAGTGCCTTTTTTTAAAAAGCAGGACATCCTATGCAGCCAGCATATTTAATAAAAGAGAAGGAAGAGGTTTCTTTTTAAAAATAATAATAATACAGGCTGAATTTGTTTCTATCCATATTATTAAGTCTCACTGGAGGTTATAGGGGGAAAATTAGTCTGTGGCAAGAAAATATAAATGAAGAACCCTGTCAGTCATCTGGGAAGAGCAAATATAAATGAAGAACCTGTCAGTCATCTAAGAAGAGCAGCTCAAGCTCAGTCTGTGAGCGTGAATGGAAGCCTCTGCTGCAGGATCAGCTCCTTTTGTAGCCACCCTTTTAAAGTCCAGTCTTGACATCTCAACACAGAGCATAAAAGAGGACCTGTTATTTTCATTTCAGATGCATATTGTGCCGAGAGGAACAATGTGAGGGATATTATTTCAGAGCCCTGGGAAAAATTAGCAAGTCAAATATTGAATCAGCCTCTAGCATATGCTAAGGAGATTGCTTTGATCTTATCCAGCCTAAAAGCCCCATTATTGAATTTAAAGTCTGTGAACACATATCAGACCAATATATAAAGCCTATCTGAATATAGGTTTGAGAAGCAGAAGATGTTTTGACAAAAGGGGAGGGGGAGAATCTTTTAGCTGAAAATATCAGTTACTGCATTGATTAAAATACAGGTGCCCTTTTCTGGATTTGTTTGTAATAATCCAAGCCAAATGGCTTTACTGAGGGCGCAGTCCATTTCCAAGGCAAAAGCAGAGAGAAAGAGAAAAGGAGGGGAGTGGGTCCTATCCCTAAGACTAGGAGAGAGAGAAACTTTTGAAGAAAGAGTTCAAGTTATGAAGTAATAATGCAGGGAGCTGGGGTGGGGGGAACCTCAAGGTTAGGCTGAGAAATAATGACTAGTTCAAAGTCACCCAATGAGCTGTGTGTCTGAGTGCAGGATTCAAACCCAAGACTGCCAGGTCTACATTCAGCACTCTAACCTGGCTTGGGCTGATGGCAGTTGGGTGTCCGAAACATCTGGAGGGCATAAGGGGAAGGCTGCTGTCACCAAGTACATACACTGCACTGGCCATTTGAGATACATCTAGGTATTTCTCTTCAGTGAATCTTGCAGTAGACTTCTTATTGTCTGCTTTCGAAACAAGTGATCTGACTGTCCTCAGGTCAATTTACAGAGAAGACAAAGGCCTCTCAGGACTGTTACTACTTCAGAAAGCATGTGTGGAACACAAACTGCTCCTGCAAACAACACAACCTGTATCTGAAAAGTCCTGATCCTGGGGCATTTTCTTTTTTTGCTCTGAAAGAGCTTTTAGTTGCACAGAGAAGGTCAAATACTTTGCTCTCTAATTCTAGAATGCAAAGTAAAACATAAGCGAAAGAGAGAGAGAGAGAAATGGGTATTAGATTTGAGAAGTGTGAGGACATTCAATTTTAAGTCATCCTTTAATAAGCAGGATAAAATGTACACTCAGGTAAATTGGCAAAATTGCCCTGGCAGAAGATTTATTTCATTTTACAGCCTTGCCGGATCCCAATAATTCAGCACTGCTGGCTGCATCACAGACACCATGTCAGCTTCACTGGACCTAAGCAGCAACCACTCCCCTAGATCAGAGTGGTCCTACACATGGCCCTTAATACCTTTTTTGGCAGCCCTCAGCAGCATCTGACACCCCCTCCCCACAGTCCTTGAACTGCTTTCCAAAGGGTAAGCAAGGCACTGGGCTTTGGGAATTAGGAAATGAGGGCTCTGATAGGGTCCTAGAGACATCTTGCCTCCTCCCCCAAACCTAGTTAGCACTTTCCCAGCTTTGGGAAGGAGGTGGGAGGGTTCTAAGACACTTGCCAGAGTCTTATGCCTCCTTCCCAAAGCCTGGCACCTTGCTTAGCCGGCTTCGGAAAGGCAGCATAAGGGCTGGGGGTGGGGGCATCAAATTTTGGCCTTGCCTCCCCCCCCCCCCACATGACAAGGCAGTGTTCAGCCCACAGGTTCCATGTTGTAGTACTCTTGCAGCCCACTTGGTATGAAAAGTTGGGGAGCCCTGCTCTTTAAGATGCTTTAAGTTCACAGAACTGTGGGGCCCTGGATCCTAATGTTTACTATCAATACTGCATAGCCTTCTTCATTTCACAGGTGAAAAATAACAACGCTCTTGTGTATGTATGCCCCTCCTACTCCTCAGTTCTCACACAAAGAACTGCTGCCTGGAGGTTCTTCCGCTCTTACAAATTGCTGGTATTGTTCCACCCACTGACACCCTGTTCATATACCATCAAGCACAGTCTTGTCTACTTGGCTGGCAGTCCCCCAGGGTTCAGGCAGAGCGTCTTTCCCATCAACAGTTTCTGGGGTCTTAACCTGGGTCCTTCTGTATACCAAGCAGGTGCTCTACCACTCAGCTTAGGATCCCTTCCATGGCTATTTGCCCCTCCTCAACAGTCTCTTCTGGACTGACTTTAGAAGCAAGGCAGGGTAGTTATGCTCACTGTGAAACGGATTGTTTTTTCCCTTTTTAAAATCTCAGTAAAATTATGCTTAATCTCACAGTGAAGTCAATACTTTATTGCAGAATAGCTGCCATTCAAAAACACATTAATCAGCATTCGCTCTTCGGAACAGTAAATCTGTAAGGATAAAAGAGAAGCCACTGCACACACAAGCAACATTATTTAAAAGAACCCCAGCATCTCCTGAAAAGGCAAAACAGAAACACTGATTTATCAAGGGCCTGTACCAGAAAAACAAATACACCTCCTAGTATATAGTGACAGTTGGGGCCTTAAATACTTCTGTGCAGGCCTAATAGTAAGTGAAAGTTTCTGATCAAGCATGCTCAGAGACACCATTGATTTGTGAATAAATGTCACAACAACCCCCTCAAGGACAACTGAGAGACACCCCACCATGCCTATGAAAAAGAGACAGATATTCCTCAAAAACAGATGCACCCGCTGGGGAAACTTACCATTTTATTATTGATTTCATGAAAATGGATTTCACAGACTTTTTCCACCACATCTTCATTCTCAAAAGTTACAAAGCCAAATCCTATTTTTAAAAAGAAAGAAAGAAAGGAATATTAATCATGGTAAAAATACGTTTACCTTTTTTTCAGCTGCTTACAAAACAAATGACTTTAAGGCACCTCTGTTAGATCACCACACAAATATGCATTCAAAAACCAAAGTGTGTTTCATCAAACCTTTAAAGAAAAACTCTTGAAGATTAATATGGATTAAATCAACAGGGGACTGCTAGAGCTGAAAACAAGGGCTATGTCTATATTTTTTTCTCCACGCTCTTTCTATACATTTAAATAGACAGTTGCTTTTCTGGAGAAGGGTACATGACTTAAAAAGGACATAAATCTCAGCTGCACACGATAGCTTCTGAGGAATAATTGTCCTTATATTCTTTCCCACCTGTCCATGAAGCCCTATTGGCTTCAGGTAGAGTTAAACCCTATGGGACTCTTCCTATTATGGATGTCTCATTAAGCAGCAAGGGGCGGGTGGGGAAGGGTCAGTAGTACAAAAGGAATAATCATGAATCATCAGCCACACACTGCCAGTAAGAGGGCAAACGTATCAATGCTTCTGCAAACACACTGCAGTACATTTGCCTCCTGGAAAACAAGGGAGGGGAAAATCCAGCCGCCTGTTACTGATCAGGGTTAAAAGAGACCAGCTTTGCTCTCCCCAGAAAGCAGGCAGTATAATAAGCGCTCCTTGGATCTCTGCAGGTCCCAGGCTGTCCTTTCTGCTCATTGCGGCAGTTCAGCCCTACGGGTCAGCCAAGATCCAGAGGTGGTTATTTGTCTCTTTTCTTCCTGAATTACTTCCTCTAATACCTCATCAGGATATCCTGAGGCCTTGAAGGAACTATGAAAGTTGCAGGCCTCTCATCTGATCACTCATCTGTTCTGCACTGCCACTTCAAACGCAGCTTCTGATTCAGGCCAGTTTAAGGTCGTTTGATGCCTGCTGTCTGCCCGTCAGCTATACGCTGTGTTTACCCTGTCAGGTCTTCACCATCCCAGGCAAAACCAAGCTGAAGATTTTTGGCAGCATGCTCCAGCACCACATAATGATTCCCACACATATCTCTTCGGGGGAGCGGGTGGCGAAGGGGGTGGGGGGAGAGGAATCTAGCGTCACGTTTCTGGCATCCGCTCAATGGACGAATAAATATAGAAACCCATTAAAATAAAGTGACAGCTCCCTGAGTGAACCTATAGAACAGAACCCGATTCCCAAAATAGTGACACAAGAGACTTGGCAGCTTCTAAGAGGATAGAAATTCAACACACAACAACAGACACAGAAGGCTTTTGCTCCAGGCAGCAGCCACAGGCTTGGGAAATAAAACTCCGGCCATGGCGATACGATCCACATAATTCGTGCTACGCACACAAGCCAGCTGCAGGTGGCAAAGTAAACAGATCACATATGCTGAACCCGTGTGTGGGATTTGGAATGAAGGTATGTAAATGTATAGAATTGACAAATTGTCTCTTTGCAGTTTGTAAAACTTGGCAGTCATGTTTATGCGGGAAGACTGTAAGACCTTGTCAGTTCTAAGGAAGCTGACACCGTCTGCAGCCAATTGCCCCCAAATCACGAGAAGGGACCTAAAACAGTCAGTGACATACAGAAGGTAGACAAGAAGACTTTGGGTCCGGAGTTCCAGGTCTGAATGCTTAACTCTGCTATAGGATCACTCAGACTCACATTCCATAGGGACTAGATTATTCTGGGAAGCCCACAAACAGGGCATGAAGGCAAGAGCCCTCTCCCATTGTTGGGTCTCCAGCAGCTGATCAGTGAGGAACTTTGGTCAACTTGGGGCTTCTCTCTCCCTGAATTCCCAACTGGTAAAATAAAATACAAACATTCATGATCTGCATTAGGAGGATATTGCAAGGACATCTGGGGCATAGGCTGTAAGCTAATATTGCAATTCTAAGCATACACGCTTGGGAATGAAGCCCACTGAAATGACTGGAACTTATTTCTGATTAAAGAGATTCAAGACTTTTCTGTAACTCAGTCACCTGTGTCAGGTCACCTGACAGCAAGGCTCTTCCTCCAGCAACACTTTTGTAAATGGGAAGGAAGCCAGTTGTTTGCAATAAATACATTCCCTATTTACAAATCCATCATCATCTTTCTCCTGACTCACCATTAGGAAGCTCAGGGGTAATAGCCAGGGTTTGTCCACTGTGTCCTCCCACCTATGGGGAATACAAACCCAAACACCCACACCCCCAATGCTTCTTCCCCTTAGGAGAATAAGAGAAAATCATAGCAATGTTTCTACATAAGTAAAAATCACTCACAAACAGCAGCAATTGTAATACCAGCTCCCTCCCCTATTCTCAGACCTATCTGCATGATTGCAACGTCCAGCACTATCTGACAAGCATCTGCAATAGTCTACTCAAATGGAGGGGCCTCCCTAACAACCAATCAATCCTCACTGCAGACAAAGTTGCTCATCTGTAAGGTGGCCTCTGACCACTTCAGTAGCACTCAGGAAACAATGTGTTCTGTACTACTGACATTCAGAAGGGTTAGGGAGGGGAAAAACAACAACCAATGGAAAATTGAGTGTCCACCTCAGGAATCCAGTTTCAGGCTGACATACAATGGGAACCACTGAACCACTTTCAAAGATCCCTGTGACACAGATTTTCAGTTTCAGACTTCTCTTTAGAATGAACCAAAACAAAACATCTGTGTTGCCTGGCCTATTTTCTCAGACTTGAAAAAACACCTTCTTTGAAGAAGACATTAGTACAGACAGGTACAGACAAGTACAGATCTCACTCTATTCAGGGAAAACAAGCATCATCAACAACAAAAGTTGTAAACAATCATTTTCAGCTTTTTAAAGATCAGCATCATTTCAAGCACATCTGGTTGCCTGGCTTGACAAGAGGGTGGAAACTAAACTTGATCTCATGAAAAGGTACTTATGGACTTCTGGAAGAACCACGACTCAAAAAGAACACGGTCTGCTCTTTAATTATGTGATTGTTTTGCATTCTGGACCTGCAGCTTATCAGAGTTAATGTTTCATGGTTTAGGTTCAAGATGGGAAATCTGTGCCTTCCAGATGTTGCTGGACTACAACTTCCATCATCCCTGACCACTGGCCAAGCTGGTTGGAGCTGATGGGAGTTCAACAACATCTGGAGGGCCAGAGGTTCTCCCTCCAGGACGCAGGTGATCATGAATGCAACACAGCTCATTCCTTAGACTCTGCCGTCCTCTCTCCTTTGCACACTTTAGAACAAACCACAGTTCTATATACCTCACTAAGTTGTCAACATTTCAAAATTTACACTGGAAGCTACTGTATGTAAAATAGCTGGCAATGTGTGTGTCTGGTGTGCAATCATGGACATACTGTACACGGGCACTAGAGAAAAAAGATGCCTATTCGTCACCACAGATTTAGCCTCCCTGGAGAGGACAAGTCAGACAATTCACATTAAAATAAATTTAAATGGGCACTTTCAAAAGGCAAGGAGAGTATTTACCAGGCTCAGGGGCTAAAACATTGGGTCTGTGGTCAGTAAACATATAGAAACTTGATCCTGCTTTGCACACTGTGTGAGGTGCAGAGATTGAGGAGAACACATTGGTCACACTTCTGAACCTGTGCACTTGGCTAATAGACCGAACTGGTTCTGAGCAAAGGCAGCACTTGTGAGACAGCAACTTCTAAATGCTGCTCCTAAAATGTAGCTTATTATAGGTTACACAGCATGTGAGCCGCTCTCAGCTACCCAGCCATAGTCCTGAACAATCTGTGTCTATTACTAAAATGCAACACAACAGTCTTAAAGGCTACACAGTGATCTCTTTCTGTTTCTATTTGTGGGAGCCCTTTAGGTAAATGGAAGACACAGTCTCTCCCTCTCAAGAGCACAGAGCAAGCTTGCTGTACTTCTAAATGGAGAAGCGTAAAAAATAATTAAAAAGCAAATCAATCCAATAAAAAAATAGATGGACTAAGATGCTGGTGTTTCAAACACCCACACAATACAGATCCAAAGCTTAGCATGGACAGTCTGCACCTGAAAGGCTGTATGTACAGTAGCTACTTGGCAAGATGTGGACAAAAGAAATTGCCTTGGTAGTTCGGGGGAAAGGTCCAGTATCGTCTTCACAACAGTGGTTAACCAGGTGCCTTTAGGAAGCTGAGCAGCAGAAAATGTTGGTCATAGTTTGCTGCTAACATCTGGCAGTCCATGGTGTATTGCCTCTGGGAATGGAGGTTCCATCATGCCAGATGTATGAACTAGCCAATACATGGTGGGTGTCGTCCAGCAACATCTGGAAGACCACAGGTTCCCCACCCAAATCTAAACCATGGAGCACTGGCTGATAATGCACAGCATCCGGCTGATTGATTGACTGAATTTCCATGCCACTTTCCATTCCCATGAATCCCAAAGCGGTTTACACACCATAAATAACAATAAGATAATAAAACATCACAAGTACAGCGTAAATCATATAATTAATGAAACATCAATCTATTAAACCATCTATTAAACACTATTAGCATACCAGCGACTAAGGCTAAACATCACAATTATAGTGCAAGTCCCATTATATAATTAACAAATCAATAAAGCTTTTATAATCTATAAAACAATATTGACAAAACAGCAACAAAAATAAGCTAAACACTATTACATTCAGACACACAAACACCATCCCCCCCCAAATGTATAAGCTTTCACTTTGATTAGCCTCTTCAGTTCATTAAAATACACATACACATCCACCATACAGGACTAGTCCACATTACAGTTGACTTAAAACCATTTCTCCATTCTCCTCACATATACTCAGAGCAGTATTCAAAGCCTAAGTTTGAGGTAGCTGTCCCAGGGCTTACCCACCCCACTCCCACCTACCACCCCACTCCCTCCAGGCACAGGTCCATGCCCCAAAGCACTGTGTATGACCCCCTCCTCTTCCCCACAGAGCTCTCCCTGTGGAAACGCCCCCCCCAAGCTGAATTGGAGCAAA